ACCCCTCTCCCTCCCCCAAAGACCCCAGCCTCTCCTACAGCTCCTGCCCCAGGCCCCTCCATGCCCCCCGAGACCACTGCCTCTCCCTCAACCCCCCTCCCTCCCCCAAAGACCCCAGCCTCTCCTACAGCTCATGTCCAAGCCCCCTCCACTCCCTCTGAGACCCCTGCCTCTCTACCAAAGCCCCCAGCCTCTCCTGTGGGTCCTGCCTCTGCCCCAGCCTTCTCCATGCCCTCTGAGACCCCTCCCTCTCCCCCATCCCCTCTCCCTTCTGCTATGGCCTCAGCTTCTACTGCTCCTCCTGCCTCTGCCCCAGCCCCCTCCACTTCCCCCCAAGCCCCTGCTCCTCCACCAAAGGCCCCAGCCTCCCCTGTGGGTCCTGCTCCTGCCTCAGCCCCCTGCATTCCCCCTGTGATCCCTGCCTCTGCCCCAACCCCTCTCCCTCCCCCAAAGGCCCCAGCCTCTATTGCTGCTCCTGCCACAGCCCCCTGCACTCCCCCTGTGACCCCAGTCTCTTCCCCTACGGCTCCTACCCCAGCCCCTCTCCATCCCTTGGTGGCTCCTGTTTCTCTCAGTGTGACACCAGCTCCGGTGGCTCCTGCATCTCCACCAGCTCCTGTCACCCCCCCTGAGGCTGCAGTTTCTCCTGTGACCCCTGTTTCTCCCCCTGTGGCCCCAGCCTCTCCCCCTTCCCCAGTTCCGGTGACCCCTGGCTCTCCCCCTGTCCAAAAGGCAGTAACTGAGGCTGCTGCCCCTGGCTGTGCTCCCGCCTCCTCCCCTGAGCTGCTCCTTGCTCCCCAGAAACCAGCTTCCTCGCCAGTTGCTTCCACTGACCTCCCTGCCACTCCCCTTACTCCAGCGAGTAGCCGAGCCCCTGTGCCTCTGCCCACTTCCCCCCCTGAAGAACTAACCCCCCACCCTGGGCTTCCTAAACCATCCCCGCCTTCCTCCTCACCTGGTCCTGCGCCCAAAGCACCAGCTAGTCCCCCCGCCCCCGTCTGTGCTGCTACCATCGATGACGACGAGCTGCCGCCTCTCATCCCTCCCGAGGGGCCTGCCGGGGAACTGCCTTTGCAGCCGATCCTGGTGGATCTCTCCTCTCCCAGACCCGCTGTGGCCCCTGCTGAGGCCCCAGCTCCTCTTCCTGAAGCCAAGCAACCCGTGCTGAAGAATGACAAGGGTATTTGCGGCCTCGGTTTGCTGTGTGCATGGAGTGTCAGCGGCTGCCCACCGAGTACTAACCTCCTAGAGATCGTCGGGCCTCGATTTCCCCCCACACACACACATACACACACTTCTGCTTGGTTTGTTAGCCTAGAAACGTAGCATTTAGAAGTGATGTGCCGTGCTATGTAGTGAAGCCAGAATAACCCCGCGTTGAGCCCTGAGCTGCCTGGTGAGCGCTGCCCCGGATCCTGGCTGGGGTACGGGGCGTCCCAGTGCCAGGCAGGCCATAGCCCGCTGCCTGCTCTTGTGTTGGGCACCAGCTTCTGCAGTTTGCTCGAGTGGAGGTCACGTCACTAACGGAGGGGTCAGGGGGACGCGCTGAGCATGGGGCTGGCTTGTGGGGGGATGGTTTGAACTCTGTTGCGTCTGGACCAGCGTCACCAGAATTGCGTAGGGCTTGAAAGGCCAGTCGGAGCCTCCCACTTGGATGTTTCTCCAACGCCTGCTGTGTATTTAATCCATTCCTCTCCGAATTCTCTGTTTCTCTGCAACCTGGTGGGGATCTAGGTTAGCTCAAAGATCGCCAGAGGACCCAGGGTTAATCGTGGTCACTTTGGGCTGCCTGTGTTGGGCAGATGCTCACAGTTCTGCTTGGATTTAGCATCCCGGCTGGTTCACCTGTGGTTATCCTTTTACTTCCCTGGAAGCAAGTTTAGTGTTAAAATGTGTCTCCGTGGCCTGTGATAGTTCTTCGCGTGTGTGCTGGTCAGTTGACCTATCTGCGCTCACTTCTGGGCCACGGGAGTGTTGCTGTATGTCACTGGTGGTGGTGGCCTGCCCTATGCACACCCTAACCAAGCTGCACACAGCATTTAGTGCAGGGCCCGAGGGTCAGGGTGTGGGTGGTTGGTGAGTCTGTCTAGTTACCAAGCCTTCTGTCCACTCCCAGTGAGACTGGGGCACGTGGAAATCACAAATGGGGCAGGGTTTGTGCCCAGCTGCTCTTCCTTTCTGAACTGGTTGTAGCACAGGAGAGGAGGGTTGTAACTCGCCCCGCCCGGTCTGCGCTGGGGGTCGAGTGTGACACAGGCAGATTCTGCTTCTTCACTTCTGTGCTGCCATGCACGTTTCGTTCTCCAACACGTCCCGGCTTGCAAGCTAGCGACGCCCACTGCAGCGGAGACTTGCATGAACTGCCAGCGGTCCTCCGAGTCTTACCAGAACCCGGGTGGCTTCTGGGCAGTGGCCCAGATACGCAGCCAGAGATGCTGCTTTCTGCAAAGGGCTCTTGGTTTAATTGGTGTCGTACCATCCCCTTTAGTAGAGCCGTGCGTGGGCCTGGCTTTGTGCAAACAGCGCAAGGGGAATCGTAGCCAGTTTCCCTGCTCTAGGCCTGAGCTCCTCCAATCCCCCACTTTGCTGTCATTTAAACAGACTGAAGAGGCATTAACAAAGCGTCAGATTTTGTCTCCCCCCACCCCAGCTGGGTCCCTGGTGATGTGAGTTCTGCTGTGCTGACTCGCTCACCCGGTGTTGTCGAACCTGCCTTTACACTTGTTTATCGCCTGCTCCTGCCTATCACACGCTTCGCTGCTGATGACTGTAGAGGTTCGGGCTTGGAGCTGGATTCTCCCCAGAGCCGAGGACTTGTGACTCCCGCTGGTTTTAAAGGAGATGGGGGGTGCCCAGTTCCCTCGCTCAGCCCTCTAATTAGGTGCAGATACTTCCCCACTTTGCCTAGGGGAGTACCTTAAACTCCTTCCTGTTTCTCAGCTTCTAGACGGGACAGAATACCAACCATCCGCCCCTCGTCCTCTAATTCACCCTCCCTTCCCTATCCAAAATCCAGTGGCAGCTGTGTCGGCAGGGTCTGTAAACCAGTGGCCTCATAGATACCAGGTTCTGATCCGCTCCAGTCTAGTTGTTGGAGAGAGCAAGAGGGGAAGGAGCAGGCGGTCGTGCAGGCTGGCCCCAGTCCGTCTGACTTCTAGGCCTCTGTCTGCTGCTGCACAAGGTTTTCCCCCACCGGTTCAGAGCACTGGATTTCCAAAGCGGTTGGTGCTACTAGTCTGTGTTGTCCTGCTTGGATGTGCCTGTTCCTTCATTACCCAGGAGGGATCGGAGAGGGGAGAACTGCTCCTCTGTCAGGTCTTACGTACGTTTATTGGCTTGAAGTTCATTTCGGTATGAATTGGGGTGATGGAGCAGTGTCAGCCTTTGGTATAACGAGACCCTAAACAACCCCGTGGCAAAGGCTCTGCCCGAACAGGGCAGCTTCCTTGGCCCGGTCTGTTTCCTCCAGACTTGCCTGCTACTTCCCACAGGGGCCCACGCTGGAAAATGTGATGCATGTTTGTTTCCATAGGGTCCGGCACAGAATCCGACAGTGACGAATCGGTGCCAGAACTCGAAGAACAAGACTCGACACAGGCCACCACGCAGCAGGCACAGGTGAGGGGTCCGCTCCCTGCAGCCGAGCGTGTGCGGTGGGGGTGAGTCGCAGGATCCCTGGCTTCTGGAAGTGAGCGAGGCCCTTTCGGCTTCGCGCTGTGTAGGGCTGTGATCTGTGAATTGACTGAGCCCAAGCAGTCACTCGAGGCGGACGTGAACATGCGTCTCTCACTGTGCTCACAGATTAGGGGGAAATCCCCCTTCTTTAATCCCTCCCCGTCCCTGCTAGCTCACACCGCTGTGAATGCTGGCCACTGGAGAGTCAAGCCCGCACGCAGAGCAGTTCTGTTCCTCCCTCCCCCATACAGGGAGCTGGCCGTGCCGCTCTCAGTGCATGTGGCGCCGGCTGTGTCCTGAACTAAGCTCCCCGGTTTCTGAGAGAGACCATCTCAGCTGCTCCCCCTGCTGTTGGTTCCTTGGGCCTCTTCCCCAGGATTTCCTAAGGTCCCGCTTGTTTTCTGCCCCTGTAGCTTGCAGCAGCAGCTGAAATCGATGAAGAACCAGTTAGCAAAGCAAAACAGAGCCGGAGTGAAAAGAAAGCACGAAAGGTAAGAGAAGATGGCAGTGGGCCCCATTCCTCGCCCTCCCTTAGGGTGTCAGCCCAACCTGCTGGGAAGAGGAGTGGCTCTGGCAAGATCTCAGTGTGCACTGGGGCTTATATCCACTTCGATTTAGCCCTGTCGTGCCCAGCGTGGTGCTGCTTGTGTAGTGCAAGGCCTCCTGTGCTGGCAAGGCTGGCATGGAACTGAGGGGCACTTGTGTGACGCCTTTCTCATCCAATGACCTCAGAGGCCAGCCCTGGCGACCCCCAGCTGAAGAGGTGCCCCCGTTCCAGAGGAGAAATGGAAACAGAGAGAGGTGACCTCAGGTCACCCAGCAAGGTGGTGGCAGAGCTGGGAGTGAACGCTGCCTCCAGGTTCTCTCCATTCTGCCTCTGTCTACAGGGCTTTGAAGGCTTCTCGGCCGCAGAAGTGTCGGAGGTTTCTTTGTGGGATCCCGATGTCCGGAGCCGATGAGCTAGTTACATCCTGGCCTAGACTGTCTCAATGAGCTATTTCTCTTCCCTTCTCCTTTGCTTTTAAGGCAATGTCCAAACTGGGCCTTCGCCAGGTCACAGGTGTAACCCGAGTCACCATCCGGAAATCCAAGAACATCCTCTTCGTCATCACGAAGCCAGACGTGTACAAAAGCCCCGCATCAGACACCTACATCGTCTTCGGCGAGGCAAAGGTGAGCTGAGCCCGCTCGTGACGGGCGGGGGAACATCTGACCCCTCTTTCAATCTGTGTTCACAGCAGCCAGACCTCAGGGATTGCAGTTCGTGGCGTCTCGCTTCAGACAGAAGTGTGCCTAGATGAGTTTCCCTGCTGCTGTGTGTGTGTGTGTGTGTGTGTGGTGGGATGTGAGTGTGTGTGTGGTGGGATGTGGGTGGGCTTTGAACCCTCTCTGCGGGCTGGTTTTCTCATCTCCATTGTGCTTGCACTGTGGCTGGGGCTGACTCGAAAGGCCTTGGATGTCTGAACCTCCATTCTGAAGTCCTGGCTTCTCTTTGGGTTCAGTTTCAAATGGCCAGCATCTCACTGTGCTCTGTGCTTCTCCCGACCCCCAGATCGAAGATCTGTCCCAGCAGGCACAGCTGGCCGCTGCCGAGAAATTCAAAGTGCAAGGAGAAGCCGTCTCAAACATTCAGGAAAACACACAGACTCCCACCGTACAGGAGGAGAGCGAAGAGGAGGAGGTATGTGGCCTCCGGGGCCCAGTCATGTTTGGGGTCTGAAACAGAAGCCCGCCGCCAGTGCAGTTCAGATGAAAGGACCCACTGTATTAATGTGCACGTGTGGTTAATGGAACGTGCTAGCTGCCCGCCCTAGTGTCTCCACCTGGCAGGTGTCCAGGACCCCTGTGTGAAGCAAGTCGGGGGTGGGTTTCCAGCCCGTTTTCTAGGGGGACCCTCACCCAAACCATCCTACCGACTGGTCCTCTCTTTGGGAAGCCCGGCAGAGGGCAGGCCCCGGACGTTTACTATCCTTCCCCGCTCCGGAGCAGGCACTTCTCACCGGCACTGATTATTACCGTTACTGGGCTCCTGCTGCTGTATGGATTGTGATCTCTCCCCGTTGCACTCACCTTCGCGGCATCGGAGCCCATTTGCCCCTATAACATGAGCTGGATACGCTGAGATGTGGTGCCTGGGGATTCCCTGTCCCTTCCTCCGCCTCCCTGCCCTAATTGCCCTAAGCGCTGGCCATCCCAGAATCCCCTACTACGACGCTGCTTGCACCTTCCTTTCGAAGCAGCTGGTGCTGGCCACTGTCAGGAGACAGGATAACAGGCCACGTTGGGTCTTATCCAGCCTGGTCATTCCTGTGCGTCCATGAAGCAGGCATTTCCCCAATCCGCAAGCAATGAAATCAGATCATGACTGCTGCTACTGCTTGGGTTGAATTGTGGCTACCCCCAGTGGGACGGGGCCATCGGTACCTGCACAGCACAGAGAGGTCCTTGCCGCCAGCTGGGAGACAGTCCTGGTCTTTTCTCGCTTAGGTTGACGAGACCGGCGTCGAGGTGAAGGACATCGAGCTGGTCATGTCCCAGGCGAACGTGTCCCGGGCGAAGGCTGTCCGGGCCCTGAAGAACAACAGTAACGATATTGTAAATGCTATTATGGTGAGTGGCCCCCAAAGCCAAGTTCCCAGCCAGTCGAGCAAACCCAAAACTTGGGGAGTAGACGTTACAGTTTGGAGTGAATCCTCCCTGGATGGGGAGAACAGGGCACGCTCATTTCACTGCTGATGGGTGTGAGGAGCGTACTGATCAGTTACCATGAGGGCATATCCCTACTTACCCCCTCCTCTCTTCGTGTCTCAACTCGCCTGTTCTGCATCATCCGGGCAGTTTTCATTGTCTGCACCAACGTCGCCGTTGGGAATGGGGGGAAATAACAGATCCGATGGTACAAAATCCGCTTGGATCTGTGTTGTGATGTAAATAATTATTGGGGAGGGGTAGGCGCCCCCCTGCCTTTGTCCTCCCTGCCCCCCACGTGTATCCAAGCAGGATATCGCACAGCTCTCTGCCCTCAGAGCAGCCATAACAGCCTTCCCCAAGGCTGCTTGGCCCTGCTTGGTAGATAAACGCCGTTCTGTTGCTTCTACATCAGCCTGCTGGAGCGGGGTGGCGTGCAGAGCTTAGTGAAGGCTCCGGGGAATTTCAGATCTGCCCCCAGCGATAGTTTCTAACCTTTCTCTCTCTCTCTCTCTCCAGGAATTGACGATGTAGCCATCAGAAGGGAGGAACCTTTTGGTTTTTCAGAGAAGAGTAAAATGCAGCTAAATTTAACATTTGTACTATTTCTATCGATAAATAAAAGTTGTGGCTTATTGTCGGTGAAATCTTTTATTTTTTGTTTTGCTTTTTGTTTGCCCTGAGGTCACAAGGAGGTGTAACCGCTGATCGCAGAGAAGATCCCGGGCCTGACATTCTCTCTCCTTTGCTGTTCCTGGGGAAGCACACCTGCTAATTCTAGTTTTTCCTTGCTCCGTGGGAAGGTCCACCAGTCTGTAGGGGGCAGCAAAGGGCTCAGACTCTAGGACATGAATGTTCCTTCGCGAGTGTGGAACACTGAGTTTATGGACACCCACTGGCTAAAATTCAGTTGCAAATTCTAATGTTCAGAGGTTAGAAAATCTCTGAGGGGCCTCATCCCCCCCAAGGGTGGTGCAAGGTTGCTCCCTTTAGAGTTCTCAAGTGTCTAGTCCACTCCAGGTTTTAATGACTCCGGTGTTACCAACATGAAAGGGATCTGGGGGTCATAGTGGACCACAAGCTAAATATGAGTCAACAGTGTAACACTGTTGCAAAAAAAGCAAACATTCTGGGATGTAGTAGCAGACACGAGAAGTAATTCTTCCACTCTACTCCGCGCTGATTAGGACTCAGCTGGAGTATTGTGTCCAGTTCTGGGCGCCACATTTCAGGAAAGATGTGGAGAAACTGGAGAGAGTCCAGAGAAGAGCAACAAAAATGATTTAAGGGTCTAGAAAACATGACCCATGAGGGAAGATTTAAAAAATTGGGTTTGTTTAGTCTGGAAGAGACTGAGAAGGGACATAACAGTTTTCAAGTACATAAAAGGTTGTTACGAGGAGGGAGAAGAATTGTTCTTCTTAACCTCTGAGGATAGGACAAGAAGCAATGGGCTTAAATTGCAGCAAGGGAGGTTTAGGTTGGACATTAGGAAAAACTGCCTGACTGTCAGGGTGGTTAAACCCTGGAATAAATTGTCAAGGGAGGCTGTGGAATCTCCATCATTGGAGATTTTTAAGAGCAAGTTAGACAAACATCTGTCGGGATGGGCTAGATAATACTTAGTCCTGCCTTGAGTGCAGGGGACCGGACGAGATGACCTCTCGAGGTCCCTTACAGTCCTATGAGTCTATGAACATAATGGTGAGATTGGCCTAAAAATCATAACCTCTTTATAAAAAGAAACGTCATGTTCTTTTGATCTGCCTTCTGGTTTCTGAGGCTTTAGGTTACACTCGCTTCATGTGTCTAAGCTTTTCTCTGCTAGCATGAAGGCTAGGAACTTTTTTTTAAAAAGGAAAGAATCATCCCTGGCTCTCTAGTGATTTTCGTTTACAGAGGTATGATTACCCCCATTTTATAGATGAGCAAACTGAGGCACAGAGAGGAAAGTGCCTTGCCTGAGGTCGCCCAGCAGGCCACTGACAGAGCCAGGTCTCCTGAGGCCCGGTCCAGTGACCTCTCTTGGGCTACAGCGTTTATTTGTTGTATGGCGCTAGGTACTGTACAAAAACAGAAGAAAAAGATCGTCCTTGCAATCTCTTGATTTCAGCACTTGGAGCTTTTGGAAATAACCCCAAAATCACAAGAGTTGGCAACTCTGTGCTCAGCTGGTGGCTCTTCCACCGCTTCCTTGGATCGGCAGCGGAGGGAAGTTTTTCTTGGCGTTCATCCCTTATTTACACCCCGTTGTATAACTCTGAAGGTGGAGTGACTGCCCGTACTTGCTGTCAGGGTGTTAACGTTTATATTGCAGTAGCACCTGCCTCCCTCAGTCAGGCCAGGGCCTTGTTGTGCCAGGTATGTACAAAGTAAATGACAATACCCACCATTTTAAAATGCTGCGTTACTAGAACTTTAATGGCATTGTCGTGTACTACCACCTAATGAGGTTTGTCTTTGATTGCTTCCCTCTCGTTCCCCCAGCCTACAAGCAAACCTGTCCTTGTCCAGAAAGTTGAATGCGGTGCAGAGGGGGGGGAGCTAACGCCCAATGAAATCCTAAGTGTCATGAAAAGAAAAGGCAGGAGCGGTGGAAATGGGAATCTTGCCACTGCTTAGTAACGCTTTTCCCCCTGTGCAATAAAAACTGGGCCGTGGAACAACTCATTAAAATTGATGAGCTACACTGCGGAGAATAGTCAGCAAGGAACCCCAAATGACATCAGGGAGAGCTGCTAGCTGGAAGCCCCTCATGCTGTTAGTCACAGTCTGTCCATGTAAATCCAAGCAGGCAGAGTTCTGAATCTCCCATGGGAAGCTTTTGGAGGATACAGGAAGATGGAGCAGAGGACGGACGGATGCTGTAGCCAAATTTGGGAAGAATGCTGGAGTGTGAGGTTCAGGGAGCCGGGCTCGATCGTTTTCATGAAGACTTTAGCGCTCAGAGAGAAGTGATAGGATTTGAAAGTAGCCTAGGACACCAGTTGGCTGCATTCAGAGGCTGTTAGGTGAAAATAGGAGTAAAACCTGAAAGGATCTCTTCCACAGTCCTATTTGGGGGTGGGGTAGAGCTGATTTTCGTGAGCTATTCTAATCTGCCAGATGTTGCTTTGAGCCCGCAGGTGCATGGATAAGGCTTAATTATTGATTTGACTGGTTGTCTGAGAGAATGGCAGCATATTATCTAGACAATTGCTTCGCTGCCTGGATGTCGCCCTGTTTTGAAAATGCAGCTTTATCCAATGGAAAGGCTAGTGAACTCAGCTTCTCTCACTGTTTTGGAATGAGGGAATCTGTCTCTCTCTTGTTGATGGGGATGTTAAAGCTTTCTAGAGAATCCCCCCGCTGCAGTGTGGGCGCCTACTTGCTATCTCCCAGGCAACTCAGGTGAGCTTATAATTAGGTGTGGTGGAATTTATTTATTTTTCATCATTTTGATGGATATCCATCTTTGTAAACATTTTTACATTTTGGATCTATTTACATTTTCACAATTGTGGGAATCTATAGTGGGTGGCGGGCAGGAAATAATTGTAACGAAAGTTCTCAAGCAGCATTTTTCTCTGCCTGTCTTTAAAGTTTCAGTTTAATATGATATTTTTTGGTAGAGTTGTGTGTGTCTGGTGAAATTGACGTTTACAGACATTTACCGATAAAAATCGAACCCTTCCAAGCCTATTTTATAATGCTCCAAAAAGACAGGCTGTGGAGGAGGAGCCCTCATAAATACGGAGCAAAATGTGCATGGCTATTTCCTTCATGAACGGGGGCTTTGCTCCTTACTTTATAATGAGGTTTTTGCTTTTAACATGAATCATTCTCTAGCCCTCTGACAATACTGGGTGTTTCTCTTTATTTTTGGCAAGAGAGTGCATCCAACACAACCACCACTCTCAGCATGGATGTCAAGGCCTTCCAGGGCTGCCCTCTCAGCACAGAAGAGGCTCCGCGCCAGTGGTCTCTGATGAGCGTCGGACTGGGCTGGGAATAGGTTTGGGGAGCAGTGCTCTGGCTCCCAAGGCGTCGAGGAGTTGGCACATCCCTGCTCTTCGCCTGTGGATCTCAAAGCACTTGAAAAGGAAGAGGGGAGTGTCCCTCCACCCTGGCCCTAGAAGAGTCAAGTAATGCACATTGGAAAAAATAACCCCAACTATATATACAATATGATGTGGGCTAATTTAGCCAGGAAAAAGATCTTGGAGTCATCGTGGATAGTTCTCTGAAGATGTCCATGCAGTGTGCAGCGGCAGTCAAAAAAGCAAACAGGATGTTAGGAATCATTACAAAGGCGATAGAGAATAAGACTCAGAATATATTATTGCCCTTACATAAATCGATGATATGCCCACATCTCGAATACTGCAGACAGATGTGGTCTCCTCATCTCAAAAAAGATATACTGGCACTAGAAAAGGTTCAGAAAAGGGCAACTAAAATGATGAGGGGTTTGGAACGGGTCCCCTATGAGGAGAGATTAAAGAGGCTAGGACTCTTCAGCTTGGAAAAGAGGAGACTAAGGGGGGATATGAGAGAGGTCTATAAAATCATGAGTGATGTGGCGAAAGTGAATAAGGAAAAGTTATTTACTTGTTCCCATAATACAAGAACGAGGGGTCACCAAATGAAATTCATAGGCTGCAGGTTGAAAACAAATACAAGGAAGTTCTTCATGCAGCGCACAGTTAACTTGTGGAACTCCTTGCCTGAGGAGGTTGTGAAGGCTAGGACTAGAACAGGGAACTGGATAAATTCATGGTGGTTAAGTCCATTAATGGCTATTAGCCAGGACGGGTAAGGAATGGTGTCCCCTAGCCTCTCTCTGTCAGAGGGGAGATGGATGGCAGGAGAGAGATCACTTGATCATTGCCTGTTAGGTTCACCCCCGCGGGGGCACCTGGCACTGGCCGCTGTCGGCAGACAGGACACTGGGCTGGATGGACCTTTGGTCTGACCCGGTTCGGCCGTTCTTAGGAGCAGTGCAGCCAGCAGCTGGTGGACAAATGGGGGGGGGGATCCAGTTCCTGTGACCCC